GCCACCACGATTAGAGGAGCGGTTTAGGTCTCTAAAGTCGAACACCACCCTACACGGTGTAGTAGGATGTAGATGGCGATACACTAGATGTGAAGGAGTGTAATGTTCCGCCAGAGGAACAGGAGAACCCTCATTGACCGTACCCTTGACCAACGTAGAGCAAGCTGCTTGACACATAGCTCTAGTTGGCTTCTTCAAACCAGTTGACCGTAGATCACAGACAATCGAACAAAAACCCCTATCGACAAGTTGTGAAAGGGCATCCTCAAACATAGATTGCTGTTTAGAATCTAGACGAGCTATAGAGGCTAGACCACGTTTAGCCGCGTAGTGGAAGTTGAAACCGGGACGGTCTTGACTTCGCCATGGTACTTCAGTAGATGCACGACGTAGTGGAGCAATCTTATCACTAGTCCATTCCCTAGGTATAACTTCCCACGGTGGAAGTAGATCACAGTCTGGGATTAGAGAGGAGTCAGTGATAGTATCAAAACACATAGTAGAGCCGTAACCGATAGATAACCTGAGATCGGGATAGATCTCAATGTCATCATTGAAGGTATCGTAGAGAACATAGTTATCATCTTTACCGTCGTAGCAGAACTCGAGAGTACTAGGCTTAATAAAGATAGAAGGTTTGACTCTAGATACCGATATAGATGATAGAGAGACAACATGGCTGATGTGCATAACAGCGACCTTACGTAACCAATCCATATCACGCAGCGATAGACGGGGTTCAGTACCTTCAACTGTAGAAACTTGAGTAGATCGTTCTCCCAATCGAACGATGATACCATCAGGCGATATAGATATAGTGGTACGTAGCTTAGCCATAGTAGAGCATCCAATAATTACAGGAGTGCTCAACTCATCAGAGGCGAGTAGAAAGGTATCCTTTGTAAAGGTGTTCCCATAGCCGACCTCTAGCTCAACCTTTCCTAGAATAGAGAGGCTTGAGCCATTAGCAACGTTTACCCGCCCTTGGGTAGATGGATCACCAAAACGTAGCTGTTTGTTAGTGATCTTTCGTAGAGTCCCGACTGCGATAAGGGAGACGTCAGCACCGGTATCGTAGAGAACAGGTCGTACTACACCGCATACCGATAGATCACCAACCACCATAGAGATCCGTGAGGATTTTGAAGGTGTTGTTAAACAATATGCTCCGTTGTTAGCATGAAGAGCATTTGAACTAGAGTTGAGGTCGGTTGAGCTAAGGGGTGAGACCCAAATAGTAGAGGCTGAATTGGTAGACGATCCAATAATATTAGCCTTAGAAGATTCATCCATAACTTGAGCATTCGTAGAAGGCGTTGTGGGACCAGGCTTAGCTGAAGAGGGTCCACTTTGCCGCTTACCACCCATCTTGAACTTGTGTTTAGTAGACTTGATAGTCTTGCCTTTACCTTTCTTGTGAG